ACGGGGGTGTGAAAAGGGATCCCCTGGAGCTGCGCCAGCCACGCTCCCCACCGGGCTGCGAGACAGAGGTCTCACGAGGGCTGAGAAAGGAACGGCCACCACCAGAGAAGGCACTAAAAGTGCTCCCAGCGTTTTCCATCACTGCAGCACCCGGGAGCTCACTCATTACCACATGTGGTACTGTAGCAGATGCAAGGAGTGAGAACTAAAAAACATCAGAAGTGGTCAGAGGGCCAGGTCTTGCTTGTCAAGGATGAGGTTTAAAGTATGTTCTTAAAGTTGGCAATTTTTCTAAATTTTTTTTTTAATTTAACCTGCTTTCGATTAAAATATCCAATTAATTAATTAGCCAGTATAATTGCTACAAATACTTCTGCCAAAACGGTCTACCTGGAGAACCTTCCTGCTGTACTGAAACGATCCCTCTTTCTGTTCCTGTTGTTGGTGTTTAGCCCTAGGTCTACATTTAAATGAACTGAAATCAGTGCTGTAAATTTTGAGAGCCTTTAATTTACTTTTTCTTTGTACTCTGCATATACATAACAGTACAACTAACTCTTGTTTTCAGTATCAAACCTTCAAACTTTGGCAGTTTTTTACACTTCTGGCCTAAGAAATCATGAACCTCTCAAATACTACTGAAGTAACAACGAATTTCTTAGCCCATATTAGCAGGGAAAAGCTGAAAAAATGTGATATTGATAAAGCTATAAGGTCAAAAGACAGAAAAAAACCTAAACAAAAATATCCAAAGTGTATTATTATTTAAAATATGACAACTCAAAGACTGCCTTGAGATGAGCTGTTTTAGCAGTAGTACCAGTTCAACAATAGTTGCATTTATGGGGTTTTCCCCTCCATTTTCCCTGCTTACTGTCCCTCTGACATACATCTAAATTCTGTCGTGGGAAGACAGAGCATCTCTGGAAGTGATGTAAGATGAGACTGAAATTGTGTTGCAAGGAACTGGATAAAAGCAGGAAGAAAAGACACTTCTTCCCCTTGGGTACTAGAAAAACTTGTGAAACCTTTTAGACTATTTGCCTCAGGGGAAAATGAGGGGAAAGAACACATCCAACTCCATGGCTGGCTTCAGTTCTGCTCCCAACATTACATGTAATGCAGGATCTTACAGGGAAACTGGAATGACTTTCCAAACAGACTAGAACAATCCTGTATATTCATGCAGTTCAGCCTTCCCTTTCCAACAGTGTGGTGTGGGCAGGACTCTGAACTGCTGCGGGCTCTCCTGGAGCCTATGGACACAAGAGAACCATTTGTTATTTCTCCCCTTCAGCTGTGCCTCACCACTTCCTGCCACAGCAGAGCCCTAGGGCTGGCCCTGAGCCCTGGCTCTCACCACTGCTCCTGGGATGGCCACTGAGTCGGGGCTGGGACTGCCTGAAACCACCTAGTGTTAGTGAAGCTGCCACAAGTCAATGACAACATTCATTTATTGCTAATGCAGCTGAGTAACTAGTAGGAGGCTCCATTTCCCAATGTTCATGTCCTAGAGCCCCATGGGGTTTCTCCAGCCTTTTATTCTGACCCAAAGGAGCATTCCAGAACAGAAAAATACACTCTAATAAGCAACACAAGAGATCACAGACCCCAGCCAGCTCAGAAATACCCAGAACGTGTGTGCCACGTACAGATCTGTTAAAGCCAACATCTAATGCCAACTCTGTTACAGGAAAAGCTGCGGCCAAGCAGGCCAATTTCTGCCAGGGCCCAGTGGAACTGCCACGCTCATCGAAGTGCGAGGCCTCAGGAGGGAACCTCCTCCTGGGTATGGGCAGGGCAGACCCTCCCACCCTCAGCCTCCCTGGGGCACTGACCTGTCTGCTCCCGAGGCCCATATGGGCACCCTTTCCCTTCAGAGATCTATGAGAGGTGGTAAGAGCAGAACTTGCCATGTACTCCTTCTGCCCAGACACTGCCCAAAGCTGTGCTGACAGGTCTTATGAGCCACAGCACAGTCCTGCAGCAATGGGCTGGGCAGGTTGTACAGTCCAAAGTGCCTGTTACTGATCAACCACGACTGTCCAAGTATCACAGGGATACAAACACATAGGCACTGCGAGGTACCTGACAGAATCAGTCAGAAAGGTAGTGTGGATTTTTATGTCAAAGATCAATTCACACACTTCAAATACGTAAGAAAGACGAGTCAATAGGGGAGACATTCCATACTTACAGAATACATTGAGATTCTCAGTTTCACAGCTGCTCCCAGAATGTACAACTGCAAACAAATGTATGCACAGACATAACCTGCTGTGACCTCCTGCCAGCCTGCTTCTACCTGAGCAGCACCACATCTGTTACTGGTGGAAAATTCATGTGTCTGCTGAAACTATGCTGCTTTCAACTCTGTGCATTCACACGAGGACACATTTCACTGAGGTGTGGGGGACAGAATATGGGCAAAGAAATGCTATCTCTCTTTCTCCAGCCTGCCACAAAGCATGGCCCTGCCTGTGAACTGGCTGTGTGAGCCCATACAGCCCCTGTTGGTCCTGAGGAGACAGGCCCAAAAAGGCCCCCCACTATGACCTGGACCACAGCACTGTGATGGGAAGAGGCAGGACTCAAAGCATCTACCTCCTGTGAACCCTGTACAGGCTGCTGGGGAAGCAGCTGCGAAGGACAAAGGTGTCCCAAAACTAGGATCTGGTCTCTGTGGCTGAGATCAGCCAGGCAACAATCCAGTCATGAAGGCAAATAAGGCATTCAAGGTATGATATGAGTAAAAACGTGTCAGCTGCAGTGCAGATACAACATGGGTTTGTATAAGTGCAAAGGTAAGAGGCAGGAAAACCCCAAGCCTTTACACATCATTTTTCCACCAACATAACGTTTGTCAGGTCTTCAGGTGGTACTGGAAACCCTGACATACAAACCCCCACGCTGTGACCCACAGGCACATGGAGGCACGCATGACAGGGAAATTCCATCAAAACAAATTACTCAAACAAAACCGGTGTTGATCTGCCACTTAGAACCATTAGTCTGGGTTAAATTAATCCTTGGTGTAATTTGCTTTCCAATACAATGAAAGTTACTCTGTATGAATAAGTTCCATATAGCTGCCCTGATCTTACATCCCTATGCAGTGTCCAGACTTCTGAGCTTCATCCACGCGAGGCCTCCGGAGCCGTCCGTTTGTGATACACGTAACGAGGAACAAACCTGAACCATCACAAGCTGGCACACTCCAGGTGCTGTTCAGTCTTTGGGATCTGACTTACCATCACCAACTTAACTGAGTTTATGTTCCAGAACTTTAAATGGAGGCATCAGTTCTTGGCGTGTTTCCTGGTGACTCTTGCTGCTCAAACTCAGTGGTTTGCTATTGAAGAGTCTGAAGTGAGTAATCATGTTATTCCAGAATTCCATTGCTCAACGGTTCACTCCTCTCCAGAGAAAGCCGCTGAAGATCCTTTGAAATATCTGGATGATCCTCCAGCTCTTCATATAATGACCGAACAATGTCCAGTTTCCTGTAGTCCACCGGGCTGACCAGACTGCGCACGACCTGCAGACATCTCTCCTTCAGGGTGAACACTGGGGTCAAACAAAACACGGCCTCGTCACGAGGGCTCTCAGCTGCTGCTCCAACATCCACAGTGCAGCTTTGAGCACGTGAACACAGAGCACAGCCTGCAGCAGCGTCACCCACCACAGGCTGGGCTCACCAGAGAGGGGTGAGACGTGGTTCCTGCCATGAGGCACCTATGAAACCCCTCACAGATCCTTTACAGGAGAGGTCTGTCCCTAGCTCTACCTAGAATCCCTCACCACCTCTTCCTGTGTCTGAGCAGGTTTACTTCTGATTTCTCACTCATCCTTACACTGAAGTTCAAAGAGACTAAGTTCAGAATTCCCCAGGGCACATGCAGTGCTGTCCCTTACCTGGCAGTGTGATGTCAGCTTTGGTCACGTTGGGGGCTACCACAAACAGCTCCTGCTGGTTGACAAGGAGCCCATCGTTGGTCCCTGCATCCCGGAACAGCCAGAGGTGCCCTGGGAGGGAACAAGGGGGGAACGCAGCAGTTATGGCACTTTTTAATGAGCAGCTCTGAGGGGCACTCGCGAAGGACTGAGCTGTATCCGTGAGAGACCGAGCTCCTCTTCAGCTGAGCTCCCTGTTCACCACTACCACGGCCTTGGTAACCGGTGTGAACCGGGAGGGGAAAGGGAAAAGGGAAAAAGGGATGGAAGGAAAAAGGAAAGGAAAAAAGGAAAGGAAAGAGAGAAGAGCGGAAAGAGGAAAAGGAGGGAAAAAAAAGGAAAAGAAGAAAATGGTGAACCCCACCGCTACCATCTCAACCACCTGGGCCCCGCGACGCCCCAGCCCGGCCCGCCCCGTTCCGCCGCACTCACCACGGTAGCTGCGCATGACGCGTCCGGTGCGCGGCTTCAGGACCGGGTAGCCCTGCGGCAGGCCCTCGAAGTCCAGCCAGACGGGCAGCACGTAGCGGGGGCTGTGGTTGTTGAAGACGACC